GACCTCGAGGTCATCATGTATATCATTCGATGCGTCTTGACGAGCTGAACACAATGAGACCATCCACGCGTCTGTATCTAGTTCCTGTACGGAGTTATTGGCCAAAAACCTTTGGTGACCTTTGATGACGTCACATGACCTCACAGCTGCCCAACAGCAAAACAGACCTCAAGGTAGTGAAGGTTGATCGTATATGAAGTCATGTATGGTATATGGGGCCATTCCGACCCGTTTTAGTGGTAAAAACAGGGAGTTGATTTTTCCCCCATTGACTTATAATGGGGAGGTCGCGAAACTGACCTGACCTTAGGTCACCGATATCAAAATTCCGAGATATACAAATTGCACATACTGGTACCCTAACTAAAGCCTGAAGAGAAGAAATTGATCGGTCAAAAACTCTAGCTCTGGCGTGATTGCAAACTTTTCTGAGGTAGGGTCACCAAACCACCTCTGGTGACCTGACCTGAGGTCAGATCAACTCAAAATTTTCAGACATGTTGCGTAGAAGCCTTTTAGGAAAAGTCAGAAAATTTGAGCTTCCTAGCTCAACGCGTTTGGGAGAAATAACCAAAAAACCTCAGGGGGGCTCCTGAGGCCCCCCCCCCCCGCCAGGAATAGGGTTAAAGACATCATCTCTGATCAAAACTAACACGATATTCGTGATCAGCATCCCGGAAAACCCCATGGCAGCCACACTTAACGACTTTCTAACAGGTCCCAATTTTCCCGATTTTCGGGTCATTGACCTGACCTGGAAGGTCACCCGATGACATAGTTGTAGACCTTATCCGTGTGTACCCTGTATCGTTTACTGCTTGTCGCTATCTTGCTCTGTTCTCGAGATCTCGCTGTCGCTCCCGCTCTTAATAATGGACAGGTCATAAAAATGACCTGACCTGAGGTCAACGCAGGGCGATAGCCACTTTTTTATTATCGCATATGAATGACAATTGATAAGGCTTTAATCGTCATCAGACAAAATTGCAACTTTCAGTGGGGAAACTATCAAGGTCACTCTGAAAAATAGATCAAAAGGTCACGTGATCAAAATTTTCAAAAATTGAAAATCCGAGATGGCCAAAATGATTGTTGGTTGATTGTGGGTTGAACCATATAAAGTTTTTATCATAGAAAACCAATACTTTCTGAGTTATAAGCCGCCAAACATATAGGGTCGCAGCGTGACCTCCAGGAATTGCCCGAGGCTATATCTCGGAAACCGTTGTTTCGAAGAAAAAAATCCTTGCCACAGCTGGCTTCCCCGCCCATCACAACCCCTTACACCAGTTTTCAACGAAAAATAAAATATGTGGGTGCAAATTTTATTTTTTATTTGTCGATTTGCGTGGAACCTCTCGTGACGGGCAGCACGCTCGTTTTTTCTGCGAACCTCTAGCTCGATCAGGGGCCAAACGCGAGGGGGTCGTACCACCCCCCCCCCCCCTTGCACCGTCGAAGGACGCAAAATTGCTTGTGCCGGCGAGGGTTAAGCTAGCTAAAAGTAAAATTGGCCGCTTCTTAATTTTGGAAACGAATGGCAGACAGCAGCATTGCACAGTGGGGATTTTTCCGATCTAGCACGTCTTTATTCGTAGAGGGCAAACCATAGGTAGTATTGTTGCCAGATTGTGCGGAGATGTTGGCTGGTGTGTTCTGGTGAGAATGTTACCTGTAAATGTGCATAATCAACATAGTATAAGGGGTTCAATTGGACCCCCGGCTCAGCCGTTTGGCCCCTGATCAAGCTAGAGCTTCGCGGAAAAATCAAGCGTGCTGCCTATGACGAGATGAGGCCGAATATATCCAATTTTAAAAGTCCAAGGTCATTAGTTGACTTTCCAAGTCATTTTAATGACCCAACTAAAGTTGGGAAATCAAGACCTCTTGAAACTTCGTAAAGCTAGGGTGTGACGGGGTATTTCGGGGTGCTGATGACGAATTTCATGTTAGTTTTGATCACAGACGATGACTTTATGCATTTAGGCCAGGTCGGGTCAGGTCAGGTTAGATCAACCAGTAGGCGTCCTGCCGGCCATCCATAGTAGGTGTCACCTACTACTGACAGCTTCGTAACATGGTACGAAGGCACCAGAACTACTTTGTAAATATTCAAATGGTTGCTAAATTCGAAATCAGCACCAAAAACTACCCTAGAAACAAGTAAAACTCGAAAAAGTGAACCAAGGTCATCAAAGGTCAATGACCTTGACTTGACCTTCACGTGACCTTGACACCCACCATAATGCATGGCACCAACATCATTTCACATATTTGAACGTTTAAAACCACAAAAAGACTGGAAACCGCGGATAATGTTAGCTGGCATACGCCGAATCGCGATTCCGGCCAAACATGGTCTCGATAAATATGCCACAGGTCAAAGGTCAGTTGGGTCAGAGTCATGAAATTTTTAGGTTAGATGTAAAATTGATGATCTCGAGGGCACCGAAAGTTTCGTCGCGACATAGGATATCTCACTTTTGAGAAGTTGAGATATCCTAAGGGATTCCTAATACGACAAAAAGAGAAAGCAATACGAATTAAGAGAAGAAATGACGAACGCACTGAAAGAAGAAGAAAACGAAAAGATATAACGATTCCGAATTCGAGCAAAGCTGACATAATTTCGCGAGAACTCGAGAAAACGAACATTCAGGTCGCAACGAAAACAGGAATCAAGATACAAGAAATAGCCAAAACAACGTCATCAGATAAAAATATAAATGAAGAAAAGAGTGTAGGATACGAAATCCCTTGCAAAGGCTGCGAAAAAAGTTACGTAGGTGAAACAGGACTTCAAGGTTTTCAATTCAATTCAATTCAATTCAATTCAAGGACTTCAATTGACGTACGCCTAAGAGAACATCGAAGCGATGTCAAGTATCATAGCGAGTCGAATGCCATCGTCCTTCATAAAGACAAATGATTCATTTACCAGACTGGACTAAAACAAGAATATTAGAAAGAAATATAAAAAAGAAGATACGAAAAACGTTAGACGCCGCTCATATAATCAACCGGGACACATTCAACTCGAGAAGTGGGTTCATTTCATTATCATCCTGGGCAGCAAAACTGGCGGTAGGCTAGGAAATTTTCATTGCGCTTCACATTAAGAATTTTAGACGGGTTTTTGTATCATTTTTACCAAGGCCATTTACGAAGTTTGTATAATTGTGAAACATTGTGAAACACAGTGATCAAGGTCGCATGTGACCGAAAGCTTTGTGTATTTAAAAGTAATTTAAAAATAAATATCGTTTGGTAATCTTGAGTTTCTTGAGTTATATGTAGACAGAATGGGCTGGCCAACAAGAATGTGCCAACCGCCGGCCATCGACCCGCTTCCGTGACCTCTCCAAGGTCACGTGAATTACTTGTCACGACGTCGCAAGCAGCCGAGATTGAGTCAGGCGAGCGTCAATACTACAGATAAAGTCATAAATCGCAAAAACGAAAAAAATATGCAAGAATGTGCCCCTAGGCGGTGCGTGCACGAACCTGCTCCACAACGTTATTTGTAATATAATTCAAAATTTCTTATTGAAAAAATGACAGTTTTCAACTGTCATTACAACGTGAATAAAGTGAGCTTCTTCGGACCCAATTTTGAAAAGTTAGACCACATTTCCGAGTCAGGATCACAAAAATGGATGATATGAGAAAAGTTTGGAAAGCCCACGAATATGACAAATTTGCGTTTTTATCAAGCATGACAGCAGGCACAGTGTTGTCTTCTACAGTGAACGAAGGGCGGCAATGATAGACATCTTTTCATAATTTACCTTTAGCTCGTGCAGTCATTCGTGTTCCCATATACTGCTGAAAATGAATGTGCCCCATGCACGAATGTGCCCCACTCTCCCCTACATACAAAAATCATGCATATATATATATATATATATATATATATATATATATATATATATATATATATATATATATATATATATATATATATATATATATATATATATATTTATATTTATATATTATATATATATATATATATATATATATATATATATATATATATATATATATATATATAATACCTACATCGTAAAATAATGGAGTCAAGATCCGGTGGCCGACTCAAAATGGCAATGTATTCATGTGCAGATACCATGCAGAAAATGTAGAACAATGTAGAACTACGATATAAAGTTTATCAACGTTTGTTATGTCAGGTGAAGAATAAAAACGAAATACTGATCAATAGCATGGAAATGTATTCACATTCGATGACAACACAAAAACAAATATTCTAAATAGCCAAATGGCTATTTAGAATTATCTTCTGTGTTGTCATCAAATGTGAATAAACATCACAATGTCTGACACGATAAATAGCATGGCAATTGGCAGCATCACTGCGTCCTGAAACAATACTGATATTTATTTCTAACCTATTGGGAGGCAGTTAACAATTAAAAAGCATCTTAAAGTTAAAAAATAAAACTTGAAAACAAACGTTTAATCCAAAAGCGTTACGATAAAAAACAAGCAATCAAACAATATTAACGGTAGACACAAGACATACGAAGCAACCTACATACATCTAACTGTTAAACATACATCTAACAGTTCTAACCAATATATAGATATACTGGTAGTGATATGGTGACAGCAAGCGGCATTGCTGCAAACGTCAAACCGCTATAGTAGGTGAAAATGCAGTGAAAGGCCACTGCTTGCTATGCATAATATGCGGTCGTGTAGCTTCAGAGCGTGGAGTCAATTTGATACGGAACTACATACCAACTTATGTGACAATTGCTTCAGCCTACAAGCACACCAACGTGAAGCGACCAACTCATCAAACGTATATCTCTGATACATCATTCGCGCTCATCCCCTTATTCACACACCTCGCACCATTTAATCATCCTGAGTGCCTTCAGACGGCCCTGCTGAACACTGACGCTTTGAACGCTCACTGTGCAGAGATTCACCTCCCTGACCCAGGCCCGTTACCCTGCCGTCCCTCACACCCACTACTCCTTCTTCGCCTTGGTCTTCCGCGGGCTGACCGGCGTCGTCACGGCCTTTCCGGTCAGACGTCGGAGGCAGCCGCGCACACCGAGCACTACCACCATCACCGCAGCCAGGAGTACAGCGGCGTATACCGCTGCCACGTCCAGTAGCCAGTACTGGTACCAGCGCAGGTGGCCGTCCACCATCCTCAGGTGGCTGGGCGCGCCGAACCGCGACACCAGCTCGATCCAGTGTAGGGCACGGTCCGTGGCCGACTCCGGCTCCATCCGCCAGATGTCGCGCACGCGCCGCACGTTATCCCGGTACCTGAGAGAGGAAGACGTGTGGTCAGGGGCCGTAGGTGGCAGCAGTGTCGCTCGCTAGAGGGCAGGCAGGTCGGGTGTTTGGCTATCCATCGGGGCTGAAAAAAAAATGTGTAATTTGTGTGTAAGCGAGGGCCAACAAAAAGGCTCTTGAGTGGCTTTTTTTTAGACCGAAAGGGATAAACTCAACAAACAAAGCAAGGGGGTCAGTGCAGGGGAGGTTAGCCGGTTCGCCGACAGAGGGCAGGCAGGTCTCCCGCCAGATGGCAGATGAATCTACCTATAACGGACGGTAGAGCAACAACCAGAAGAGGGCAGTTATGCCGAGGGCCGTTGACACCACTGCCGGACTCGAAGAGGATTGGAAACATTTCTAACACACGGTTCACTGCACAGAACAGTCTTATTACTTACTTGTTAATGTAAAGAAGCTTATTGAGGGAGTCCATCAGAATTTCTTCGGTCAGACCAAACTTGTCCAGCCCAATACCAAGCTCGCGATGATGCATAAACTTCGAGTTGTCTCCCTGGTCGCCGAAGATAGGAACTCCAACTGAAAAAAAGTTTTACAAGACCATCAACGACAAACAGGCACATACCCAACCGGGCTACGAACAGTAGGACCAATATAGACGGGCAAACATAATATATCGATTTTATTTAACATCCCGACATGCAGATCAATCATAATACTGTTAAGTGCCTTTTGGGCACAACGTCGTCAAGCAAACAAGTGATGTAACGCAGCTGAACTCTGAGAGTACTTCAGAACAGGCCGCTTGTAAATCAACTCATGGCAAGAGGAGATCGAGTTAGTCTAGTTTCAAAATCTGCCGCTACAACAATTGTATTATGTAAAGATAACGAATTTTCACCACATAACGGAAAACTTACGCAGCGGGACTCCTGCGTAGAAGGCCTCCATCATACCGTTCATGCCACAGTGGGTGACAAACACTCTGGTCTGGTTGTGACCTGAAAACACAATAAAAACATTTTATATTTAAAACACCGAGACTGAAACGTAAGTACACCATGAAAATAAAATCATTACGATCAGCGATGATTTAGCTCATTCTTCACTTTTCGAACACAAAACTTTTCACTTTTCGATGCATGATCTCCATTCGAGATCATGCATGCAATAAATCAATCAACGTTGAAAATATTTCAAAATACGGCTTCCTTTGCATCATGCTAGAAGTTATGAGCGTCTTACCAAGGACATCGATCTGAGGAAGGTAGTCAACGACCTTGACATTGGACGGGACCCTCTTCAAACGGGACGCAGTGAACCTCATCAGCACCTGTGTGAGTGAAGAGAACAGGGATGAACAGCTGACCAGCGGATGTAATTAATGATTATTATTATAACTTAATAAAGTTGAGCATTAAGCATGCGATGAACACTATGAGGCAGGATAAGACCGGTACGGCTAATGGGAATGGGCAATGAGCAAATTATTTCACGTTCAAATTACATTCAAATAATTTCACAAATTATCACGCAAATTATTAAACGGTTCATCTGGTTTGTCGAAAACACAAAATAGCAAACAAACTTGAAAAACTATCTGCGATGTGAAAGAATCAAGCACATTTTATCCCTCAGCCTTGAGCTTATTAACAGAGCTGGGCATTGCGCAACTTAAGTCCGCAACTCCGCAACTCCGCAACTTGCGGACTTTCCTCTTGGTAGCGGAGTTACGGATCGGCTACCGAGCCCAAAAAAGTTGCGGAGTTGCGAGTTGCGGAAGCGAAAAATTCTAAAGCGCAACCGCTACCGGGGCCGCCACCGCTGACGGGGGCGAGAGAGAGAGAGAGAGAGAGAGAGAGAGAGAGAGAGAGAGAGAGAGAGAGAGAGAGAGAGAGAGAGAGAGAGAGAGAGAAATTCGCCACTTCAAAAGGTACTACATAACACTGCACTTCAGGACTAACCTTCCTACGGCGTTTGACAGCGTCTACCGTGTGGGGGGCGAGGGGGGGCGGTTGGACCCCACCCCCTGCTGTTCTGCCCCTGATCGAGCTAGAGCTTCGTGGGAAAAAATGAGCGTGTTGCCCGTTACGACAGGAAGCCGATGACACCCAATTTTAAGGACCTAGGTCATTGGTTGACCTTGCAGGTCAGGTCAATGACCCAAAAGTCGGGAAAATCGGATTGGAACCTGCTATAACTTCGCAAAGTGAGGCTGTCATGGTTTTTTGGGGTGCTGAGCACGTATTTCATGTTAGTTTTGATCACAGATGATGTCTTTATGAGTTAAGGCCAGGTGTGGTCGGTCAGGTCAACCAGTAGGCGTCCTGCCGGCTATCTATAGTAGGTGTCAACTACCACTGACGGCGCCGTAACATTTAACGAAGGCACTTAGTAAAACTACTTCGTTAATGTTCAAATGGATGCAAAACTCGGGATCAGCCTAAAAAACTACCCTGGGAACATGTAAAACTAAAAAAAGTGAGCCAAGGTCATCAAGGTCAATGACCTGACCTGACCGCCACGTGACATTGACACCCACCGTAATGCATGGGACGAACAATTCACATGTTCGGACGTTACAATCACAAAAGACTGGAAACGCGCGGATAATGTGAGCTGACATTCGCTGAATCCCGATTTCGGCCAAACATGGTCTCGATAAATAGGTCAAAGGTATTTTGGGTTATAGAGTCATAAAATTGTCAGATTAGGTGTAAAATTGATCAACTCGAGGGTACTGAAAGTTTCGTCGCGATCATCCGCTTTTTGCGCGAGTTATTAGCGAAAAACCGAGGGGGTCCATCCAACCCCCACGGCCTACACATGCGAGGGCTAAAACTGATAAAACATGGTACCTACCTAATAGAGGTGGGTAGCGGAGTTGCGGAGTTGCGGAGTTGCGAGTTGCGGTTTTACGATCTACAAAATAGTTTCGGAGTTGCGATTGCGCTTTGGGTACCTCAGGTTGCGGAAGGTAGCGGTAGCGGTTTCCAAATTTCGGTAGCGATGCCCACCTCTGCTTATTAATAAGTATAGTTAGCACTTCCCCGACCTCACAAACGGGTCGTTACCTTCTGCTTGAGCCGGCCGAAGACGTTCATGAAGGCCTCGATGTAGTCGTCGGGAACAGAGAGGGCCTCGTAGCCGGTGATGCCCAGACTGAAAACGATTACGCCGTGCTCACCGGCGCTCTGCATGAAGTCCTCATAGTCCTGGCCGTCAGAAAATGGTGGTGGGTTACCGGGCTTATTAGATGAATGCTGAGATCAGATTGGCATTTTTTACTATCTACCGACGAACCGAACTAAGGCCGGATCATTTAAACTTCTTTACAAATGGGCTAAAAAGAACTATAAATCTGAACCAAGTTCGAATCATTTTATAGGTTTCACACACGTTAACATGCCATTAATTTGGCGCAACATAAATCAGAATCGAGTCTGTTATAAATAAGATAATACATAAAGTTAAATCCAGCGACGTCAAATTATTGCGCAAAAGCAAATTATTGCGGCAAGAAACCCCGGCTTTTCCATATCCTTACCTTGGGCAGCGGTCTGGCGTCCCTGCACTGGGTACAGCCGATCATTTGGACGTTGGGCGGCAGCAGGACCGGCTGTGAGGCTAGGAAGTTGGAGTGAACCAACACCATGTCGATGTTGCTCACCAGGGTGGCTGCGTCTGGCAGCGTCGGGTAGTGCCTCTGCACAGAGGACAAGTGCTTTCAACGTGGCGTTCCAAATATATCCATTGCACTAAGCTGTTAGAGGAGGTAGAATAAAAACGCCTAGGCGTTTTTATTCTACGTCTTATTATTATGTCAGGCATGTTTGGCTAAATGTTTTAGGTGTAAACTGCAGGTTATCACCGGGCGCCACAAGCCTCTGGTAAAGAGTTGTCGATCGTTTAGAAACATTACATTTTTATTAAAGTCTCAGTTATCGATTATTACAGACCGACCCGACCCCACTGACCTGGATATACTCGTTGGCGATTCGGAACTGAACCTGTAGCAGCACCTTGTGTACGATCATACAGAGCGTGTTGTAGAGGCGAGCCGTGAAGCCCATCTGAGGCCCCGTGTCGGACAGGAAGGTGGGCGTCACAGACGGCAGGTTCATCGTGGACGTGGCGTGACTCTGCCGGTCACAGGTCACACAGAGGTCATCCAAAGGTCAGAGGTCTCATACAGCCCAGGTCACATGCGAGTCACATCGAGGTCACGCAGTGGTCGTTTGGGGATCACGGAAAGTCATCGCTGGTTATTTGTGGACTGTCACGTGAGCTGCAAGGGTCGCACGCATGACACTTTTCATCAAGCACAGGGGAACGATAAATTCCAGTTGCACTGGTTTCATTGCCTGGCGCCTGCCTATATTTGACAAAATGATACAGGATAGGGATAGGGCTTATTGAATGTGATCGTCCTAAATGTGCACTTATTTTTATGTTACTGACTACCGGTTTTCTAGGTGCTTTTGATTACTTTCTTTGTAAAAGCCACTTTAAGGGTTCTAATGTCCTTGGGCTTCTGTTCATCATACGAGTATAACCAGCAGGTGCTAATATATGCAATGCATACAGCACTGGATTTCTTGAGACAACAGGTCAGCGGTGGCACACTTGTTCTCGGCCTGCTAATTGGTGAGTTAGCGATTCACGCCTCTATCCAAACATAACGGTTTATGGCTCTCCCGCTAGCCTTCACGTCTACCTTCTTTTATTAACTGACAAGCAGCGCGACCTACCTTTTCCTGAGTTTCTTTCACAGCTTTCGCAACGTGACTGTTGCTAGACACTTACGAAGAATATCACCAGTTCAACCCGACGTCACTGTTAAAACTAAGCCCCGCTCTCACAGGTACTCGCCCCCATGCTCTGTCCCTCTCTGCTCACTCACGCTCTCACAAGTCCTCACCCCTGCCCTTTCACACCCCGCTCACCTCTCCGCCGACAAAGCTGAAGCCCCAGAAGCCCACCACGGGCAGCTTTAGCGCTGCGGCCAGCGCCAGACCGCACTCGTTGGAGATGATGTCGACCAGCGCTACGTCAAAGCGGCGCTGACGCAGCGACTCGAACAGGTGGTGGTCACCCAGCAGGCTCTGGAAGTCGGTGATAAATCATCAATAGGCTCAATACTGTGTCCGGTGGTATGTTTAAACGGCACAGAAGCTGAATAAGAAGATGACGGAGACACACTTCCAATGGTAGGTAGGTACTGAATATGTCAAGCGACGCAAATCATGTATGTTGCATGCATATAGAGCAGTGAGCAACTCACATAAATGGAGTACATTAAACAGAAAAAAAAATCGAAGGAATGTTTCCAAGACGGACAGATAGGTACACCTCAGCTTCTGTGTGAGCCAGTGTGTAACTATACGTTCAACGGCATCATGAACAACAAAGATAACCATCATCGACCAATAACTCAATCCTAGTAGTCACCTATAACCTCGTAAGCTCCCACACGAGTGACCCAGGTCATCGAGGGGTCCTCTTACCTCGCAGAAGGCGTGTGTCATGGAGAACACGTCGGTGGGCAGGCTGGACAGGCGCCGGGTGCGCTGCCACAGCAGGTCGGTCGGGGGAACGAACACACCATCACGGTCAAAGTACGACGAGCGCAGGTCCGTGTTGTTCACCGTCCGGCTCAAAAGCTCCACAGGTGAGTCGACCGGCTTCGATTTCCGGCTCAAAAATCTGGGAAAAGTAGTGTAAGACAAAAATTAAATAGAAATGATCGCAGTTATATGGATGAAATTGCTAACAAAGTCGATATGTAAATTTGTAACGATGAAATAAAATAGCTAGTTTTGAATTCGCCTAGGTATACATTTTTTCTTATGAACAATACAATACCTATATCAGGTCATCAACCACTATATACCGCCCTATACAGTGGCATGTAATGGACTATTTGTAATAAAAAATAATAATTTGTCGCTCTGTCAAGCTTGTAAATAAATGATAAAATAGCATCGGCAAATAAATCAAGTTTAGGACGGGCGTTCAGCTAAGCCACAAATCAACTTAAAAGATGTCAACGGCTTCTCGAGATATAGATAATGCATATGTGTTTACATAATGGATATAAAAATATGAACGAAAAAGTAACAACAGCCGCTTTCACGACGGTTATCTGGTACACATTTGGTGTAGATTGGGTGCAGAGTTGGTGCAGATTTGATCAAATTAGGTGCATTTGCCAGATAGTCCCTCACGAAAACGGCTATTAAAAACAAATACCGGGAGTTCCCGAAAAAATATAGCAGTATATAGCAGGTATATCAGATACATGTATTTGACTGGTCAGTTCAGATGGAGACTGGAGTGGTTTAATTTAGTTCGCTAAAACCTTAAAGGGCTTGTGAGTTACGAAACCAACTCTGCGAAGAACCGGGTAATCATATGGAGCATCTGGCGGCTCATTCAAGGTTACTTTTTCTCCGGACGACCCGCAAGTGCCACAAATCGTACACCGCTTTCACCCGAACAGGTAAACAGGCCCGTTTCTAGGCGCTCGCGGTGCTTCGTGCGTGCACCGGAGGGGTTGCGTCGAGTCTTCCCACTGCGCGCGGCGGTCGAGGGAGAGAGCCTACGGTCACGTCATACGGCGTCGCTCCGCCACTACGTGCCCAAGGAGCCCGCGCTTGTCAACAGGAGAGAGTGGGTGCGTGCCATTCGCCAGAGGACCCCTTCAAGTGGGCGGCGAAACGGGCCAGATCCGGGAGGCTGGCGGGGCCGGAATGTTTTAATTCGGTGTGTTGTTGTCAAACCTCGAGGGAGAAGGAAGCGCCCAAGTAAAAGGGACGCAGACGGCATAGACCCCCAAATTACGGAGTCAGAGGAGCACGGATAGACGGACCTGTTATTAGGAGAACGGAAAACAAGGCAGCCGCGACACACGGCAAGAGAGTCACGGTTCTAGAAAGTAGGCGCCATACTGCTTTCCGTTTCACAAAAGCATAGTACGGCTGGCGCAACAATACTCCTTTATACCGCCACAAATAAAACGATTATCCACACGCAGCGAATTATCCATACGGAAGCCGTGCAAGGGACTCAGAGTCGTGACTATGCAGAGTCACGACAGCCTACGGCGGGGAGGCTAAGTGTGTCGCCGCGCTTGGACAATTGAGCCGGGTCCCGACCGGAGGAGCTCGTCGCTCTGCCGTGAACGTTTGTGAGTGAAAAGCGACTATTCGCAGTTGCAGCGGCCTGCGACAGCCACGAATATATGTTTTCCGGCTCCCTGTGAAATTACTGTGCTCGCATTCATAATTGTTTTTTTTTGCAGCTATGCTAAATATGCAATACACTTTAATCTTATTGTGACGTTACCCAGTCCTACCGTTTTTAGTCACGGAAGCTGGTTGATCGGAATTCGGATGTGTTAACAGTGTGGAGGATAAACGATTAATAAACCCCATTCGGTACCTACGTGATGTAGATATGTCGGCCCTGTTATATCAATTATCATAAATCTCAACAATCGGGTAGCTCGGTGCAACCAGTTGAGTCTGTCTGGCACCTGGTAGTCTGTTCAACCCATATGTCACAATGCAAACACAGATTTTAACGTGTGCATTGCTTCATTGCACGCGTTCCCTTCGGTAAAAGGTATGAGTTGGGTATGAGGCGCTTGCCCGTCGCATATCTCGCCCGATCTGTGCTTATGAAGTTACGCCACTCGTTCGCGTGACTTATCTCATTCATCTCTATCACTCATATTGCTTGCATTCGTGTCACTGTCACCGCAGCGAAACGGTAGGGTTAATTGGAGATTCATGCTTTAGGACATCCGGGTCGGAAGTAGGGTGGGGCGATGACTGCTGGCCATTTTGAGCGGTAACCTGCAATTTCAGTGTTTGTCGAATCACGTCCGGACAGGCGGGATGTTCAGCATGGCAGAGTGCGAGAACCCATGGCCTGTTGGCTGAATTGAAGCCATCTGACAGAAGAAAAGAAACTTTGGGCCGGCGGAGCTTCACCAGAAGCTATCGTCTGCATTATGTAGGTATAGCTCAGTTCGGCACAGTCGTATGTCTGGCATGCGGGATGGGATGATTGAGGTTGTTTGGAAGGGAACACCAGCGCCGATATGAAAACAATTTGCAAATATTCATTACGCAGTACGCATCATGTCTGCGTCATATTGTCCGTTATTACGCCATGCAGCTGCAAAGTCTCTTACAAAATGACGTAGCATATATTGTAGCAAGTATACACTATTTGAAAAATGACTGACCTCCCTTTAGATTTGCTTTAGCATTTCGGCATCAAATATAGGACCCGGACTCCGGTAATTCAGCCAGCTCCAAGTGGCAGTGTTGTGATCTTCATAAATCGCATTGTTATCTTTTTTAAACAATACATACAGTCTTCAATTTTGATTACTTTGGCCTTGTTGACTTGTGATATCACTCTCACATAGCACTGCCCGAACTCCGAAGACAATATTATGCCGGAGCGTTTATTTTACAGTCTCAGGCGCGCGCTGTAACGGAGACTGCAACGCAGACTGGCAGGCTAACACCATCAAGAACACCATCCCCTGATACGATGCGGAGGCGAGCCATGGCTGTTAGTAAGCGATACGCACAAATACGATTTCAACCAATATGGCATGACCCACTTAGATAAAAGGGATTTAACCCTACTTGCTCATGTCCTTACTAGAAAGCCAATAAAAAAATCACATAGACCAAGAAAATATTTAACAATTATTTCTTCACATCGTTCATCAATCATTATATTGATGTCACTTTTGCAGCTCAAGACCAGCGTCAGAGCGGCTTATCCACCGGAGGTGTTTGCCTAAAATGTCCTTGAAGCTATTCAACTACGCCGACTTCTTGTGTGGCGGCAAAAACGTAGCGACTAGTCGAGTCGGGCACATCGTAACTACCTCACCGTCTATTGACTGACTGACGCTCTCGGCTCTGCCACTGCCGGTAGAGCTTAGACGATCATCTAATCCTCTCTATCTCGGAGTGACTCGTTAACGCGTACAACTGCGACTATTTGCGCTGGATTCTCACCTGATCTGAGTGACGTTGTGTCCGCGCGCCACCATCTGTTCACCGAGTACCCGCAGTGTCAGTTCGTGGCTGCCCGCGTACACCGGGTGTAAGATGAGCACGTTGATGGCAGCGGCTGGTGACAGCAGCAGCAGCACGCAGACAGCGGCGGAGAGAACAGACGCCATCCTGACGACCTGGCGGAGACACAAAGGTGAACAGACATAACAGCGAACAGTTCCGAGTGATTGCATTTTATCATGGAGTTTGACGTGGAGCAAGACGTGTGTGTCAATGGGATCGAACACAATCTTACCGTTTAGAAAATACATGATTAAAAAATGGCGTGCATTACAATTTAACGAAAACGTAATGACATTAGGTATCAGGTATAATATAACGTTCCAACCCCTTAGTTCGCCTAAAAACTGTGCTGTTGGTTGGGTAGTTCAGTTCACGTGTGCAAAGATCCATCCAAATCCGTCAACAGCTATCAAAGTCGTTATCGTTCCATCCATACATATCAAACAATTCGTCTACCTATGCCGTCATCCGAATACAAGATCTAGCAAAGTGTGTTCATGTCAACGCGGCACTATCTGACTTTATACTCACTCCCATCCTATCGACGAGCCATCGTTGATAAACATCACTGGCCAGTGGCCACTGTTCCTGGATATGATCAGTGAAATCCTCGCGAGCTAGCACAAGGCTTATAGTCCTTATTGTCCATTGTCATTATAAGCGAGGGATTCACAGGAGCCAATGATATCAATGATCTGTGCACTCTGATTTCATCAATGACTGGACGGTTGGATGTGTTATTAGTTAAATATCGCCGGATATTTTTCGGTACCGAGGTAGCATTTCGCTAACATTTCGCCTCTTTTAATATTTAACAAAGCTCGTGTTCCTAGAAAACTCCTTGTTCTAGGCAATGACCTTCGAATCTGAATTGTCCCTCGGTCACCGTTTCCCTGGGTCATCCGGCGTACACTGTAAAAAATGTTAACTAACTTCCGTGTTATCATGGCAAATCTCACTAACCTAAAGCGTGTAAAGTTTACACGCATCTACTGGCCAAACGTGTTTTATATAACACGCTTTTAAGAAAAAACGTGTTATGAAACTAAGACATTAGTTTTCGACGTGGTGTTGACCTACACGCCTTTTGCGTGTGACCGTGTTACTTAACTAATATCTACCTGTCAATGTACTAATATTATGCGTGTAAAGTAACTAAAAAGTTAGTTATCCTGGCAAATCTCACTAGGCAAAAGCGTGTGAAGCTTACTAGCATTTTGCGTGTAAGCGTGTTTCCTTTTTTGCGTGTTATGTAACACCGAAGTTAGTTATCATGCAACTAGGCATCGCCTAGTTGCAGGATAACTAACTTCGGTGTTACATAACACACACAGAAGAAAACACGCTTACACGCAAAATGTGAGTAAGCTTCACAAGCTTCTGCCGAGATTTGCACATGTGCACATGTTATCCAGGCAAATATCATTAGCCAAATGCGCGTAAACTTCGGGATGCAGTGTGTAAATACAAAGTTTACACGCATTTGGTTTGTGAGATTTGCCAGGATGACTCGAAACGTGCAAATATGTTTTACAGTATATATACATGTTGTGCGTTTTCACACACCGTGTTGCGACACGCGTCGAAATTTTTATTTAAAAAAAGTATCATACAGACGAGTATTTAAACACAAAGATGTTTATTCAAACCAACGTATAAAGCAACGCAACCAACCTCATGCCAACCAACGTCATAAATCAGTCGGTAATCTGCACCGGTCGTGGTGACAAATCTGCACTGATTCACACCTGCAACTATATATGTATAGCCTGCAGGAATCCGCACCAGCCATGACACCATACAGGCTCCAAATACCTATTACGAAAACATTGAGAATGCTTCATTTCTGTCGATATGGGTTAACTAAATTGCAACAAAAGGGCAAAAATTCCCTGACCGAACAATGGTGGCCCATGTGTCTACAAAAATTTTATTTGACAACATGGGTGCAGTGACAGGAATTGCATAAAACAGTACCTCACCGCGTTCACTGGTTGAGTGCCCAACACAAAATTAGGTACATTTAATTTCTTGTTCAAAGCTTAATGCGGTTTTAGTGTGCAACATGCTCATTGTTCAGACCGTCATATGTACTTAAAGACGTCAATTGACAGTCAACAAATGAACAGTGTCTCCAACCTGAGACCCTCTAAAGCCTGGTTGGAGCTTCAATTGAAAAGAAAATGAGTGACATACATAAACCACACTAAAACGCCAGCAATATCTGCACTGATCTTTCCCATAATCACTCACCATACCAGTAAGGATGAAAGCCATGTCCAACAATCCATATCATTTCACTGTTTGACTTCTTATTATTCTTATTCTCAACACCACAGCAGCTCCTTATACTGCACACGCAACACTTATACGCCACAGCTCAGCTCCTTCACAACGCACACGTCCTCTCCCTTCTCTGACTTGGCACAGACTGAACATGGCGGGCGCAGAGGGGCGCACAAAATGGCGATTTTTTTCCAATTAACTAAGGTCTTTGTAATGCTACAACAAAAAGGGTAGTAAGAAAACTAAGATTGTGAGTTAAAACATGCGTTTGATTTGTTAGTTAACACGTTACCCAGAAAAAAAGGCAAAGGAAGCATAAACAAACATGTTTGTCAAATAACACGGCATGGTTTGCACGGATAATATTTGTCGGCTTACAATGATGTTAGCTTTTCTGCTTCGATGAAATGAATGTGGTGTTAGGTTGCTAACATATGTGTTATCTGACCCGTTTTTTGCAACAACGTGTGTTTTAATACTAGATTTTGCTTGAAGAATTAACTAACTGGTTTGTTAGCATTTTTTACAGTGTATGTCGGGTTGGCAGGGTCAGCTCATGCGGCTGTGAATTCGCCGTCATGCCATGGCGGGCGCGATCGCCGGGCGCCGGGCGCCGGGTGCGGCGGTGCCCTGCGGCGGTGGGCGGTGATTTAGCTTCCCAGCCTGGCGGGGCGGCGGCGGCGGCGGTGGATGACCCACTTCCTTTTCCTCAGGTTCGCCGCCGCGCTGTTTGGCCTACATCATGTACCCGAGAAAGAATGCGAGCCGTGCGTGGAAAACGGCGACGCACAGCGGAAGAAGAAGCGTGATATTCACGCCCGATACCCGGCGTGTCAGGAAGAAATCGCAACAAGCGGTCACGCAATGTGGTAACGAAAAATGCGCAGTCATCATGGGATGCAAACTGCATAGTGTGGGCCTCATCCTAACTGTAACTTGATGGGTGGTTTTACGTACCGCCTCAGGCTCGACATTACGTTATAGGAAAATATGTGAGAGGCCTAACTCGCTCAAAATTTTGTTATGTCATCCAGCGAAGGTCCTTTGCACGTAAACGTGAAACTCAAATGTCATGCTCGTTTTTGATGTAATAGCAAGTAAAAAAAAAAAAATGTATAGGGTCGCTGAGCTAAAAGTATCGTATCCAAGCCACACCGCCCGCCATCACATGGTCCATCGTCGCTCGTCTGCACCGCGCCGAACCCAGCCGTCGGGTAAGTACTTACTGTGGTCGGTGGAGCTGAGAGACCGTTATAGTCCCGGCTGGGGGCGGTCCACGCGACTGACAGCCTCTCCCGGCTCGGTCAGGTGTCGGCCGACGATATCAGCTGACACTCTGAGTGCTGGCTGACTAGATCGGCGAGCTGAGACCCTCTGAAGATGTTGGAAGTGATGAGGACTGACCAGTGACCACCTTGCCGCGTCTTGTTTTCAGATGATCGATATCACTGACCAGCGAATATGTGAATCAAAACTCCGATCTCGATCCAGCTGGTATGTACTTTGTACTGACTGATTATCAATCAGCACTCGTCTTTACCCGTATTGCCCACTGATGAGCCTGAGATCCCCGTCGCCTCACTAACGGCACAGCGTGGCACGGCGGCGGGCGGGCGGCGGAGTCGGACCGGCCGGCGTCACAGTTGGAGCGGTACTGAGCGAGGCTGACGGCTCCGACTCCGGGTAGGTGGTACCGCTGTGTCTGTCCTGCTGCCTCCGCCACTCCGGCGGAGTCCTGTACTGACCAGAAGCCCGCGACCGCTCAGACAGAACAGCAGGCGAGCGATGACGAGCGATTAGTAATTCGAACTGTCGCCATTTTAAACGAAACCTGGCGACACGGCGTTTGTTCGTGTCCTTTGATGCTAAAGAAAAGTATTTACACAATACACTATTGATACATCAAAGCTGCATATACATATATCTAAACTGTCTGCAAATAGACTATTTTATAGGCATTTAGATGTTTATGTGACCATTTATGAAGTAGCCCAAAATAACGTTGCTACATGACGGTTGTCCCATTCTATTACCTCATAGTCCTGGCGATTATATATATTTTTTTAATACATTTAGTTCGAACCTCTTGAATGGAAGGATTCCCAAGGACAGAGTCACCGCTAAGCAGTGCTTGTTCTGCCCTCTACGTACCCTCCGATCGCGCAATTCCTGATCTATGGGATAATTTAGCGCCCGAAGTTTAAAGGAAATAGTTCACTTTTTAACATGGGTTTTGAACTGGAATAGCAGTTCCGTAGCTTGGGCTGAGACGAGCATAAATCAGGAGCTTTTACAGCCCAACGATCACCCTAGGCAAAGATATTCTATTTCTCGTCCCGAAAAAGGTGTCTTGCGTTGAGGATGTGTGCCTTGCATATATTTCCATCCAGTATGAAAAGAGCATGGGTCCCGAAAATTCTTCAGAAACTAGAGAAATTATCTACGAGAACTCTAGAGAAATTCTCGTACTGATCAATTAGGACATTCAGGGGAACATTATCAGATCGAGCAGATCGCCCAAATGCCGGTGGCTGCGATAATTTCTCTGTTTCTGAAGAATTTTCGGGACCCATGCTCTTTTCATACTGGATCGCTGTGCCTTACAGAAACTGAAAAGTTCTTCCTATATCAAAATATAGAAAAAAAAAATCTTTTGTTATAAAAAGGTTTTATTTTCTTTCCTGATTATTTTGAACATAAAAAATAATAAATCGTTGCAAAAAAAATAATTTCGTGAAAGTGAACTATTTCCTTTAAGAGCACGCACATAGCCGCGCATGTACAACGGATAAATGACGATAGGTAGCATCGGATATTATAGGTACAACGGATAAATAAAAAAGCAGATTACTATATATTAATATGATTTGGAAAATAATAGATATACTGTAGCCGTTTTCACGACGGAACTTTCGCAGAGGAACTTATTTGATACCTAAAAAGTACCTACTCTTTGAGGCCTCAACATCCCTCAAACTGAAATATTTTATGTTCAAAATAATTTTAGAAGTTTAAATCCGGGCATTCTTTGCCCTCAAATCACTTATTTATTTACAAACACAGCAATTTTCGGTTCTAGTAGCCCACCTTTCGACTATGAGGTATCAAATCAGCGTGGCAACCTGCTCCCTCTATGCTCCCTCGGGTATCTAATTCCGGAATTCTTAAAAACAAGGAAAGTATATATCGAGTTCTCTTTCATACCTATTCAGTTATGTTTTAATGGTGATTAAAATATGGCAAATTTTTTAATTACATTTCATATAAGAAAACACGCAAAACAATGAAACAAAAATAACTACGGCAGATAATTACCTTCAGGTATCTAATTCCGACCAATCAGCACCTCAGTAGGATATGACGTCATACAAGAATGGTGGTGAAGGCCGTTTGCAGTCCCGGCCGGTAGGTCACGTGACTCGGGTCACGCGGCGGTCGGGAGTCGGACGCGGGGCGTGGTCGCGGGCGGACGCGCGGGGCATCATGCTTTGCTTTGCTTGCTTTGTCAACTTCATATAACTTACTATCGCATTCGTGTGAAAGCCAAACACTGCTCAGTGCCCTTAGAAATTGAGTTTTGGAAAGCTCAAGTCCCTATAGCTCCTCAGGTCGGCAACAGTTGAAGCCTCATCTGAACCCATGTGAAAAAAACGAGGGTAAGGAACCTTGTGTTGCTTTTTCTTTTACCGTCATAATTATCTCAAACCATCACAATTTTGAGTTGCCACATTGTCTGCTTCACTACATTCGTGTAAAACTTGGGTGAAGGCTGGTGGCTCAAAGAAAGGTGAAGATATTTCTTTAAGTGCCTAATCCGTGAAATATCCCGGCTTTACAAATCTACACTTTTTTTTTCTCCACGATACATTTTTTAAAATTGTTTAAATTTAATCTACATTTGTTAAAATCGGGGCTTTGGTTTTGTGTAAACTAGATCATAAAATTTACTATAGTTTTATGTAACCTGATGGCTGAAGAAAATAGTAATTTTGCTAAAATGATGTGCGGAAATTTGTTGTTTTCCAAATCAAATTACTCATACCTATATTTCATTCAAAATTAGGAGGCATTATTACTGTTTTTTCTTGTAACATGAACTGAGTTTGGGTACGGTGCTCCGGAAACGTTGTGGAACTTTAAGCTAGCTAGAGCAGTTTCCATAAAAATTGTTTAGATAGTTGACATGGGTTGTTGACAACTCTTTTGCTGTTTCTAAAAAAGTGAAAAAAATATTTTCCTGCATTAACCCGCGCCCCGCTGGGCTATTCAGCCATACGCGCCCTGCTGGGGGGGGGGGGGGCAGATTCTGCCCCCCCTGTCTAACTTCCGAACCAATGGTCGTAGAAAGACGGGGAAAACGGCAATCGAAAGCTCTCAACAAGGCGGATCTTAAGAGCCCAAATTTTTTTGCTTAAGTAGGTCAGAGGTCAGGTCAAGGTCAGGTCAAGAGTACAAAATGCAAGTTTCTACAGTATCGGCCTTGCACCGTAGTTGCCGAAGAATGGACTGAGACTGATTGCCCAAAACGTGTTCTTAGACTACCAAGACAATATTCGTTGCACACAATGTCATTCAAAGGTCAAGGTCAAGGTCAGGTCAGGTCAGGTCAGGTCACCAAAAACAAAATATAGAAAAGGGCATGTGCGACACATGTTTTATGGGTCATTTTACTCATGGAATTCAATAGGCACACTCAATAAGTGATATGGACCACCTCTGGATGAATTTCAGGTCGAGGTCAGGTCAAGGTCAGGTCAAGTGAGGTCAAATTTTGAAGTTGGTTGTTAAGGCCTAAAAGGTGTCTATCCGATGCAGTTTTTCACGGCGAATCGAATGGTGCTATTTTTATTTCCGTGCGAGGTCTAGAACTTCAAAAAAAAATCATTTTTCAAAAATTTTGTGCGTCGTGACGTCATAAAATTTTGAATAACTCCCACATTTTTGAACCGATTCTTCTAAAAATTGGTATGTAGGTGCACATAGACCACTTCTTTGACATATATTCCGGTTTTTTCGATAAACTCAAAATTTTGGATTTTATAAATATTTTCCCAAAAAAGTCAGTTTTTTTGAAAAATTTTGGCCAAAATCCAAAATTTTCAAAAAACCGAGATAGCCATTTAATAGACAAAGTAGAATCACGTATAACCTTTTTTGTTACGTCTTGATTCCTTTAAAAATGAAGAAGTTAGCGGTGTTAAAATTTTGCCGTTTTTTAGGCGAAAATGGCGAACATGACGTCACTAAAACGTCAATTTCTCAAAAAATTTCCGACGGATTTCGCTCAAATTTTCAGGGAACGTGTCACATTGATGTATGATAAGGTACTGAAAGTTTGACGTCGCTGGCGTAACGCGTTTAGAAGTTATTGGCGAAAAACGGGAGGGGGGCAGATTCTGCCCCCCCCCCCCCAGCGGGGCGCGGGTTAAGCACACAAGGCATGTTATTCTCATAAGCTATCGAATGTGTGTGTGTGTTTTTTTAAGCTGTTTTTTTTTAAGCTTTTAAGCTGTTACTTCAGTTACTTCACTTTAGAACATATTGCCCAGAATGCGTCACTGATCATGAGCTGGTATATCATATCATATGTAGCAAATACATAAATGAGAATAGTGTGTCATGAATTTTTGTGCATGCTTCTGGATCATCTGTAATTACATCAAAGGCTCGGCTCAAGAGTGTCCTGCCGACCAGCTTATGCCCAACCCTTTCTGTCCGCAGAACGTCGCCTGCGACTCCCGCACGCCGTTTGCCCCGGCCGTCCGTACTGGTCTTCGCGCTGCGAGCCGCGCTGGAGTTCGCGGCGGCGTCGTGGAGCTCCCATCGGGACGGCGTGTGATGCCCGCGTCGAGCTTATAAGCCGTGACTGTGAGCTTCGATTGGCGGCTCACGCGGTCACCAGCTGTATGTACAGCCTCGGCCCCGACGACCCCGCTAATGGCCGAGACCGGCATACCCCCGGCATGGGTCCGCTGTCCGGCGCAGCGCTGGCCGCCCGCATGCTACTTTTGGCTGTATCGCTGCCCAGCGGGAGCGCGCTCCACGCTGCGGAAGAGGTACACGTTGCGACCCGACTGAGGACCGCAACCGGATGGTGACACGTCGGCCTCTGCGCCCTGGCCGGGGCAGGCGTGACCGACGTCACAGTGGAGGAACGCCCAAACAAGACCAGCCCACCGTCGGAGCAGCATGGAAATATCATGTTCTGCCTGGACGTCGGACCCGGCGGCCGCAGTGCACCTGCACACGTGCGGAGAGGGGCGCTGGAGGCTACTCTGGAGCTTCTGCCATTCCGCGGCGCGACTGCTGGCAAAACGGCGGCGATTGAGGCGGTTGGGAACAGCTGCAGCAATGGTGATGGCGGTGATGGCGACATGGCGGTTTGGGACTTCATCTCAGCGCGGCCGCCGCCCAGGCGCCGCTGCGCCCGGCTGCTCAGCCACCTACCGGATGGCGGGGTGGCCCTTACGGCCCTCACGCCCGTTCGGTCTGCGGCCACGTTGTGGGGTGGCGGTCGCGGGGTTAGCGGCGTTGGACTTCGTCCTTTATCCAGACTGCACCGTACCATCTGAACGGATGGATCTGCCAAGAAAGATGACATCCAAGGCGGCTATGAGGCGATCACAAAGCTTCACCAAGAGCTTCTCCTTCATGGAGCCGGCCGGCCGTTAAGTCGCAACACCGGCTGCCGAGTGCCAACAGCTGCGTGCGCTGGCGCCGACGCGTTGTGGGCCGCGCTGCTGACGCCCAAGCTGCGATATCAACCATCTATGAATAAGTGGCAGCGGTGGCGGCTTGTCAGTTGTTAACGTGCCTTAACAGACGTTGCGAATAGCCCGCGTTGGAATCGCATGGTTGGCAACACAACGCAAGTAAAAATGGGCTTCCTTGATGAACCTACTTTTTAAGCATTGTAGCCTTTGTAATTTTGGATGTTTTGCTGTAGATATCATTTTCTACATACATACTATATAGGCACTCACGTGCTTTAAATCGCGCAATGCAATTGAACCATGGTAAAGACAATGATAAATGAACTGAGAGCTGACATGCCCCATGCTTTGTGTGTGTATGTGTGTGTGTGTTTTTTTTTTTTTTTTTTGGCGAGTCGATAAAAGTGGTTTTGGACACTAGATGAGTTTTTAGGGGTGTGGTGAGGGGGGATGTAATTCCACAGACCTTCTGTCAGATTCACTAATGCAGTAGGTCTGTGCGGTGTTTAGTTATCGGAGCATTCTTTGAAAGTCGTGAATAGGGCCACCGAGTACCTAAAGCCGTGATATTCCCCCACAAAAACTTCTTTTAAATAACCGGGGATAGGTACATGAGCAGAGTAAATGCTATTACGAACGCCTATCACAATGCTGAGCGAATAGGAAAATCCATAGATGGAGAATTGTGCCGCGTTACGGGTGCTCAGGCGCAGCCAATCCACCGTTACCCCAGCGGTGACCTTGACCCGCATCGTCTGTCTCGGCTCCAAAGCCAAACCGGCGTGGAATGGGGATGTTCGGCTTATTTCCTCACCAGGTGGCAGCACTGCCTTCTTTGGACACAGAAACTGTGGCGGCGAATGCGCCACTGTGTTTTGCACTGTGTGGAGTCCGTGCGGTGTCGGTCCGGGGGACTGAATTTCGGTGAATTTGATAGCAATTGATTTGAATTTTGCTCAGATAGGTTGTGAATTTATATTCAGCAGGTGTCACAAACATGGAAAGGCAAGTTTACAAAGGACAGGAGACTTAGCAAGGCTTCAATTGACGTAGCTGAAGAGAGGCGAGAAGCCGAAGATAGACCGACTCCAAACGGTAATTCCATCGATGTAACACGTTTCCCGACATTTTTTTTTATGGCGAGCATAACTAAGAGTATAAAATAGTCTAACTTAACTCATAGCTGGATCTTGTATTGCCCATATGAGGTGATTTACCTGTATAAGTTTATGGGCATATCAATATAGGAAATTGACCTGCCCTTTGAGAAAGGCAGTAAAAGATGATACATGCTGCTGAGAATGATTATATAAATTCAAGATTCATTGCAAGCATTTTAGCAGTGTTCTACTTTGTCTGGTACCAAAGATATTGCATGCAGATAAAGGTTATGATGGAAAAAGACAAATAGAATCTATTTTGACACCAGCAACCAGAAGGTGTATGTAATAGAACACTAAGCTACCTACTATTTATGAATTGTTACAAGTATTGATCATCCTACATGGTGTTACAGGTGCCCAGTGCAATCATGCTTCTGGTGCGGAGTTGTCAGGATGGAGTCCGAGGAATCAAGGAAGGCAGAGGACCTGCGTATGAAGGAACCAGCCCTGCGGATGAAGTTCCGAGGTGCATACAGAGGGATCCCACTGAAAGACCAGGTAGGAGTTGGTGAACAGCTTGTGCACTGCAGTATATCATCCAGAAGTAACTGATAGCCTTTCTTGCAAAATGTTTTTTAACTCGTCACCAGCTAAAGCTACTCATTATTGATATAATATCTTAATTTCATCAGGTAAATAATTGTTTATTCAAAGTTTTGATTCACACTGAAGTGAACACTATTTTAGAATACCTATCACTCAGCTTTTTTAGCAACTAAATACGGGCAAGTTTTTTGTTGTTTTTTAAAATAAATTTTCACCTTCTAGAATATTTGTATAGGTAACTGCAATAAAAGTGCATTTCAAAATTGCAAATACTTTGTGTAAAGTTCATGGGTCTTGATGATGTCACTGTATCCAGTTCATCATATCAGATTTCAACTGTGCTTAAACTGCAATGTTTTGCTAATTGCTTCAGTATATAATGTCCTTTTATCCATGCATGCTAAACATACCTATGTATCTCATTATGACTTGCCAAAATCTTTCCCTGTCTTATGCAATTTTTCATTTATTCACAGGTGCAATGCTGCATTGATAAGATCCAGATTCAAGAGCATGGATGCTACCAGATCCTGTGATTTGAAGTTACCAGTGTCACTGCTGCTACAAATGACATCAGCAACACTTCCTTTGGTGAAAGTTAAGAGGAGCAAACAGTTGGTGCTCTGTGTAGTCAAGCAGTGGAGTTTTGCCACAATCATGAAGTTGATTAAGGTGTCAATTTTTGCTCTGGCTTCTGGGACACCTTGGATCTACATTGCAACCTATGCTAGTGTTCAACATTTTCGTGTCATAGTATCACTGATGCAAAGCGTGTTGCATCATACACAAATGAGAGCCAGCAAATTGTCAGATATTTTCTAGTGATAGAGAACTGCACGCCTTAAGCAATTGTTGAAGGTGATAAGTGGTGAATGGTAGGGCTCAGCCACTCAGCTCCTTCCTTCAAAAGCTATCAATCAGCTCTAGAAGAGTAGTCATAGCAATGCTTCATGTGTGAAGGCTACTTGACTGAACAGAACATTGTGGATTTGTTAATTAAGTATCTCTTTATTACAAGTTTGTGCCCATTACAAGCCAAGCTTAGTTTACTTCGTTTGTTGCAAGTTTTCCAGGCAGCCTTCACACTTGTGTCGCTGAATATTCAACTTTAACTGAATACCGACGAGATATTGTCCCTTTCGCATCAGATTGTAATCAGTCAGTCGTGTTGGTAGAAGGTACAGTCTGTCTTAAAAGTATCGCGCAAAGTGACGGTGGATCCATCAAGCGTGACCGAGGAAGGGCCTGCTATAATTTGAAAGTCACCGAGCCAATTGACCTGGGGAACGGACGAGGATGTCATGTAGAGCCACGCAGAAATCGCCGGTGATTCGTTGCCCATCATTACAGAATGAACGCATGCCGGATGAAGGGTTAAGTCAATAGTCTGTACAAACTATACACAGAGATGTGATTGACTTATCTGACAGTGACGAGCGCTAGAGGTCAACTTCAGACGGTAGGTATGCGTTATTGTCATGGAATGTGTGCTGCAAATCGATTGTTTCATGCGTGTGAATATATGACTGAATGTAATAAGGTTTTTAATTTCAACTGTGTAAGTTAAAATATGTGATAACATCGTATCTTTCGTACTCCGTAGCTTTTGGTGACCATTCGATCAGCTCCCTTTCCTTCCACTCAATGACGATGTAGTAGTTTGCCTTTCACACGCGTCATTGTCTTCCTGATATCGAAATCAACTGTAGCTACTCATTTTAGCAAAATGATGAACCTGAAATAAATATATGAAACGCAGTTTCCGTTCGCGGCGCGTCGGCCGCCGTCGCCGCCCGCAGTGTTATCCCCGGCCCGGCCGGCGCCCGGCCGGCGCGTTGTGTCCAAAGCATACCGTGCTGCCACCTGGCGAGACTTTTCGGAACTCTTAGCGCGAACATCCCCATTAGGAGCGTTCGAGCACTCATGGTCCAGCGCAATTCTCCACCTAAATCCATTCCTGATACACATTTGCTTGCTCATAGTCATGTAACCCCGGTAAATTCACCCAACTTTCATATTGGTCGCTCCATAGACAGATGGCCACAGAGATCAACTTAAAAGGCCATTGTTGCATTCATTTAGTGGAGATCATTAAAGAGCCGTGACAGGCCACAAGTCGCGTGACATCATACGTGTAACGACCAATGACGTCGGCCTGCAAAACCCAATGGAAGCGGCTAGCAGCGTGCAATAAAACAGGGCGCTGCTTTCTAAATGTCTGTCGTGCGCCATAAATGAATATATTCTTTGTAGCCTGGCAACTCAGTATCTTTTTTTAACTATTGTACTAGTATTTAATAATTTCATAATTTTATAATTGTGCTTACGCTTTATGTTGATATTAGTGATAAATCCTTAGATAAAGTAAATCGATGTGATATTTAATAGAAATATAGCAAACTAACGCACCATTCATTCGAAAGCTGGGGAACCTACTAAAAAGAACTACTAAAATTCCTGAGGAACCAAAGGATCAAATGGGGATTAAATAGATGCCTGCTATTCCGTCGTGAAAACGGCCTGTAAGGACAATACGCTTTCTCATATCAATGGCTATCTTTTACGCATTAACCCACGCCGTGCTGGAAGGGGGGGGACGTTTTTACGCCCCCCCCCCCCCCTCCCCTCAGGTTTTTAGTACACCTGTTCTTACATCCTCTCCGCACACGCTGTGAAAATTTCGACCCCGGTCATTCAAGGTCAGGTCACGGTCACGTCAAGTGACCTCACCTAAAAAAAAAAGTTTGAAGGCTCGCTGTAGCTACAGCAACTGAACGATCACTTTGAAAATTTCAGCGATTTATATTAGTAACAGTATGTATAAAATGTGTATCTCAGATTTTCGATATCTGTGGCCTAAGGTCAGGTCAATTTTGCGACCTCTCCATCATAAAGTCAATGGGAGAAAATTGAAATGCGCCTCTTTTGGACGAATGTAGTTCAAAACGCTCTCAAACATCGATTCATAGGTAAGCATGACACACTGAATCGGAAATTGCACCTGTGACCCCTCCGTGTGCCCCTGAGGTCATCTCAGGTCATGAACGGTCACCAGCAGTTTTTTTGGCTATAACTCTTGATAGAGACGTGCTTGAGCGGTGAAAAACGTCAGATGTGTTCAGCTCGACGATACGGATCGACTGATACGCCACATTACCCTTTCCGGTCAGGTCACGGCCTTGACCTGAGGTCAAATTTTCAAAATGACCTTTCAGGGCCAACAAATAGTTCATTCGACGCGTCTCGACGAGAGAAACACTATGCTGGAAAAAGTAATGTCGTGGATTTCCGGAGTGAAAAGTCATTACCGAAAAACCTTTATCGTGAAAAGGGGCTATTTTTAGTGTTTCTGCCCTCTGGAGGCTAAACCGTTGATCTAAGGTCAAAGCTATGGACGCGTTAGCGAAAGAGCGTTAAAAGAGCTATCGAATACGCTTTTCCGCATGGCGCTGTAGCTCTATTGGTTCTCAAGTTAGCCGTTGGGTGTTTCAAAATTGTTGAAATCGACAAAATTTGACCTTTGTTGACCTCTGGCGACCTGACCTTTGACCTGACCCTAAAAATGACCATATGTTTTCTTCCTAATTTTTGACGCTCCTTTGATTGACCCTTACCGCGTGTCTCTACGTGGCCAAGGAGCCGAGTTAGACGGGGGGCGTGAAAACGCCTCCCCCAGCACTCGGCGGAAAGTTCAGGCCATCAGCACGGCGCGGGTTAATAGCCGTTTTCACGACGGCTCTCTGGTATACATTTGGTGTAGAATAGGTGCAGTGGTGCAGATTTGGTGAAATTAGGTTCATTGCGTTTCTTAAAAGTTATCATTTTTGGTTGCATAGATGGTTATGTATTTTATTCTAAATATTATCAGAACTTATTTTCGATTAAAACACTGAAATAAATTCATGATACGAGGATATCTGTTATAAAAGAGAGTAAGCGCAGTTTTGGTCAACTTAGGTGATGCATTTGCCAGATACATAGACCAGATAATATGTCGTGAAAACGGCTAATATTAGCCTACCAACTGGCACTGTCTGTCGTCACATGGCGTGAAAAACTGGTCCTTTGAGCCACTACAATTTTTGTGTGTACGCTTTCAATCTTATTCTTTAAAAAAGCAATTTAGTACCTTGTTATTTTTTCATTTAGCGTCCTATATATTTAGCGTCCTATAGTTTAACCTCCAATCAAAAGGAAAGAAGTTGAATAAATCTAGGTACCTACGTAAGGATTTATTTACCTTCTAGTAAAACGGTATCGGCGTCTTATTATTCTTAGTGATTTGTTGAGTGACGTGCTCTGGTGACAGTTGTAATAAAAAAAAATGTTTATCCATCAATTAATACTTATTGGTTATAGGTATGGAATTTACCGCTAACGTATGCTCATACATTACGTACATATTATATTTTCGTTAGCCTAATGCCAAAGCTACCTGTTTACCGAGCTCCTAAAGAAAAGACAGACACAATTCTAAACCAAACATGCTATGATAAAATTCCTATTTAAAAGGCAAAGTTGACAGCTGTGTATAGCGTATGACCATAACAGCATACCGTAAAAGCGTTGTTAAATGTTCTCACAAGCACGTGGAACAATGGCGAAGACAGTGAAGTATTACACGATCCCATTAGGGGCGGAGGCTACGGAAGGAATCAGCGCGGAACCGAAAGAAATGGTGCTGACGGTCGTATGCCATTGTAAACGGTGTTTCTCTTTTAGTACCTAGCTGACTGAAAAACGATTACACAACTTGAGTTAATGTTATTTGCAGGAAGTGAAATGGAGCAATAACAATGAGTTTGACATCGACCTGTGAAACGGCACAATGTATTTCTGTAAAATATTACTCAAGAATCTGTTCCTGTTAGAATAAAAATCGTTATCAAAGTAGGTAAATTAATGCAGGATTTAGTTAGCAATGTTTAAGCTCGTATTAATCAATTCACTGTTGCTTGATGTTCATATTTTTTGCCTTAGCCATGTATGCCTCTTCCCGAGGAAGGAATGCCTCCTCGAGAGAGAGAGAGAGAGAGAGAGAGAGAGAGAGAGAGAGAGAGAGAGAGGGAGAGAGAGAGTTGTGTATGCACACCTTTGCTTACATTTTCTTCACACCTTCTTCGTAACCATGATAACACTCAAGTGACAAACCGTGTCACGCCCTCTCTCGAGCACCTTCAATCAGGCGCTAAATACATGTAAGTATATATTGCAGTTAATGACGTCACAAACATTATTCAATTGTTTTTTTCACTACGAGTTTTCGTCTCCTCTCTCTCTCTCTCTCTCTCTCTCTCTCTCTCTCTCTCTCTCTCTCTCTCTCTCTCTCTCTCTCTCTCTCTCTCTCTCTCTCTCTCTCTCTCTCTCTCTCTCTCTCTCTATCTCTCTCTCTCTCTCTCTATCCCTCTCTCTCCATCTCTCTCTATCGCTCTCTCTCTCTCTCTCTCTCTCTCTCTCTCTCTCTCTCTCTCTCTCTCTCTCTCTCTCTCTCTTTCTTCCTTTCTTTCTCCTTCTCTCCTCTCTCTATTTCACCTCTCTCTCCATCATCCCCTCTCTCATTCCCTTGCTCTAGTGGCAGTTTGATGCGGCGACACATATTCAGCTTGGCGCAACGCTGTCAACTGTGACATGTGGTCTCGCTCATCAGCATGGACTATGAGGTGTGTGCAGCGGCCTCTGCTGGTCGCAGCAATGTCATGCCAGCGTTGAGTACGGCCAACACCACAAGGCGAGTGGCGACGCCGGCCGAGAGCGGCAGAGATAACGGTGCCGGCCGGGCCGCTCCAAGCCGCCGCGCCGCACGTGTTGTCAGCAGGGCAGCGGTGCTGTGCCGGGGCCGGTCCGTTCGCTCTGTCCGCCAGCGTCCCTCGCAGTGGCCACGGCTAGAAAAAGGTTCAACGGCCGCGGTCTGCGCGTTACGACAGAGCCGTTACGTCGGTCTGTCGTAGGAATACGTAACCTGGATAATGACGGGAGAGAGAGAAAGAAAGAGAGAGGGTGTGTGTGTGTGTGTGTGAGAGAGAGAGAGAGAGAGAGAGAGAGAGAGAGAGAGAGAGAGAGAGAGAGAGAGAGAGAGAGAGAGAGAGAGAGAAATAAATAGCATAGACGTAACTTATATCATGACTAATAACATTAACCCGGCAGGCGGCGGGACTCCCGGCCACCTCCCGCGCGGTGGGGGAGGGGGCATTTTTTTGTCCCCCCCCCATATCTCCGAAACTACTGGACGGATCCGGAAAATTCAAACAGCGTTCGATAGCCCTGTCAAATTTGTCGATAGAAACCAAATTTCATTGACCTCGGAGTCACCGATGACGTCACAGGTCAGGTCAAAGATAAAATGTTTCACCGTTCACGGGGCTTCTAGGGAAAGCGCTTTAACACCGAGTAAAACGCATTTTGTCGAAAATCAGCGATAAGGCGTCAGTTGTCTAGTACATATCTTGCTATTAGAGGTCACTGGTCATACCAGGTCAGGTTACAGGTCAGGTCACCAAAGGTCACCAAGGGTCACCACATGAACCCAACTTTACTAAGGTTGTGCGATGCATGTTTTATGGCCAGTTTTTCATTTCCAACTCAATGGTGTTGGTTATAAGACCATCAGGTACGGTTTAGGTCACTTTCTGGTGGAGGTCAGGTCAAAAAAGGTCAAATTTCAAAGTTGATATTTTGCATAAAATGGGTATTG